ACTTGTAAAGATGGGATCTTGTGATGCAAGCCACTGACAATCTGGATGGACCTGCAAGGGGTTCCTTTACAATTTAAGGGGCGTTAGTAATGTCGAAAAGTTGTTGGAAAATGCAAATAGCTTGGGAATCAGAATACTGGAACTTCTCCGAGAGACCCCTGATGAGAAGGTTTGCCCCTGTTTATATGGTGAGCCCTAGGGATCCCCGTCCTAGTAGGACTGTGATTCCTACTTAGTAGGAGAGTTCTCCCCTTCGTAGGAGATTAGATTTCTTGCCTTTATCCGTTCAAGCTTTCCTCTTTAGGGTGAGATTCAAGGTCTCATCAGAAGAGGAGATTGGCTAGGATTCTGATCCTAAAGTGGATTGCTGTGGGCAAATGGGCCGAACCTAGTTCAGCTTAACTCGTGGGTGGCCCAACTCATAGAGTAGACAGTTCACAAGGTTTCCTAAGCGTGGGCTCAATCGGAATTGGGCCAAGGCCTTGGGCAGTGACACATTTATAATGTTATTGGACCTCGTTAGGTCCAATACGATTTTTAGCCCATACACCTATAAAGATCCCTCACTGCACTTTCTATATGACTGTCTCCATCCAATCAAAGACGTTCAGACCATAGAGCATCAGGTTGACAAATTCCTAGTCTTGACGGAGTTAAGCTGCCTGTAGGGAATTTAATGTCACTTTCTAAATCATTCAAGTTGCCCTTTGAAACTTGAATATACAACCGAAGAATGGTGAGCTGCTGCTGTGTCTAACTTGCTTACCTGTTATATTTTTAATGTTAATCTTATTTATCATGTCAGTTATCACTTAGTAAATGTAGTTCCTACCTGGAATCGACCTTCACAGTGTCGGTTTCGATTTCGGTTCTGGTCCCACAATTGTAGGATCCAGAATCAAGAATTAGAACCAGAATCAAGAATTAGAACCAGAATCGAGATTCGAGTACTTGGGTAGAAACCAATTTGAGAACTGGGATTGAATTGTAATTTCTATAAACTATAAATTTTTCAGGGTATATTTGTTGTTATTTAAAATAGTAGGGGGTTATATGATTTTCTAGGATACCCAGAATCAGAAGCTGAACTTGTTAGGTTTCGGTTCCAAGAATTAAGGAATCGGAATGAGTTGATTCTAGTTTCAACTTCCAGGAACCGGCTGGTTCTGGTTCTAAATTCCAAAACTAGTCAGTTTATGATAGGTTTCAATGGATTTTAGCAAACATATGGGATTTGGATTGTCAATGGCCCATTTACTCCATTATGGACTTTGTCTTGGCTTCCCCATCCCCTTTTTTGTGGACTTTAATTGGGGCTTTATTTAATTTGGGCTTTATTTAATTTGGGCTAATATAAATCAAACTTAGCCCAAATTAAATAAAGCCCCATCAAAATTCTTTCTAAATAATTTTTTTTTGTTTGCTAATATATGATCCATTTAGGTAATTCTGAATCCAAAGACTGCATTCTCTATGTGACTGTCTCCATCCAATCAAAGACGCCCAGACCATAGAGAATCAGGCTGTCTGGAAGGAATTTAATATCACTTTCTAAATCATTCAAGTTGCCCCTTGAAACCTGAATATACAACCGTAGAAATTCTAAATATTTTAAATGTTAATCCAATTAATCCTGTAAGTCATCACTTTTTAAATGAATTAAAACGGAGTCGGCTGGTTTGGTTCCAAATTCCAAGAACCAGTCCATTTTGGTTTCAAATTCAAGGAACTGGGCGGTTTTGATCCGATTCCCTCCAATTTTAATGAGTACTAGACAAGCACGTAACTGCATATCAATATATGGTTCAATTAAATCCACTCAACTTAAAATAAAAAAATCTTTTTATTTTATAGAATTTATAATTTTGACCCCACTTAAATTCTTATTGACTCTACCAAAATGAATTATTAATTAATATTTTTTAACTTTTCTCTCTTCTTCATTTCCTCTCGTTTTCTTTTATATCATCTTTTTCTTTTGGTTGAATATTCAAGAAATGCTACTCCTTTGGATTATAAGGTAAGATGATGCTCATTTTATTTTTTTTTACTTACAATTTTTTTTTTTAGCTTTCTTAATTGAGTAATGCTATGCGTACTCACGGATCTTACTAACCTTTGTTAAAATTATATATGGTACCCGTACAATGTTTGTGGTATCCGTACTATGTTTTATACTTACAATGGTTAGTACGCTGGTTAGTACACTCGTAAGTACGCATAGTATTATTGTTCTTAATTAATGAAATATCATAAACTATAAGTTTTTGTTGAGTTTAATAAATGAGTTTAAAATTGGAAGATTAAATTCTTAACTTTTGATGTGAGTTTTAATTTAATTTTGTTTATGTTGAAGTATGGGTTAATTAGTTATTATTTTAAGTCAGTTTTGATAAATTTTGATTAATTATTTAGTTAATTTTGAATGATTTAAAGATTTGATGAAACCATAAATGATAAAGATTTGGAGATTTGGTTTAATTTTAATATATTGATGAATTGCTTGATATTTAGAGTTGAATTTGATAAGTTTTTGTGGGTTTATAAGTTGAATTTTATTGGGTTAGTATAAATTGTTTGAAAAATCTAAATTATAAGATTTGAAGCTTCGGTTTATAGTTGATACTTTGACTCTATTGATTAAAAATTCTAGCTACGTCTCTAATACCCGACCCGTTCACCCCTAGTCGTTGTTAGCAAAGACGTGACTTATGCGTGCACAAAGCAAAACTGTATGCAAACTAAAAGCTATGTTCCAACCAGAGAGTCGAAAGCAACTATAATAGAGAATAATTTACATGTTGTATTTGCCTTAAATGATATGTTACTACTAATTAAACTTGTTGATTAAGAAAAAAAAGGTGATATAAATGCAATTTTACGGATATTTTCCTAAATTGAAATTGAAATTAATTTTGTTTTTCTTTTTGATAATACTGTAATAAACTAACTCATTTTTCATTTCTATATATATATTAAATACCGAACTCATTGCACAAGTTTCTGACATTAGCAAAATCTATATATATATTTCTTATAAATATTTCATATCATTTCTTTGTTTATTTTGTTTAATGTTTTTAATATAATTTCTATACATATTTCTTATAAATATGTATTCTGGGCTGTGTTCTGGGCAGGAGACTTTACTATTTTAGGCTACTACAATCATTGTTTTGGGGCTTGGGTTCTATTGTTTCTGGGCTACAGTTTCATTGTTTTGGGCAGGTGTTTGAGGCAAAAATCTTCACTTCTTCGGCTCCTCTTTTACTACTTGTTTTGGGCTACTGTTTCTCTATTTTTAAGGCTGCTTTAACCAGTCTTTGGGGGTTGATGTTCTACTGTTTCTTGGTCGCTTGGCCATTATTTCATGTTTTTGGGGCTGTTTAGCAAAAAATTTGGGCTTCTTTCTATTTTGGGCTGTGATAACTAGTGTTTTGAGGCTGCTGTTTTACTGTTTCTGGGCTACTGTTTCATTGTTTTGGGCGAAAATCTTCACTACTTCACTAATTTTCGGCTGCTTTCACTACTCATTTATGGCTTCTTCGGCTCTTTGGGGATGCTGTTTTACTCTTTTTTGGGCTCTTGGAGCATTGATTCTTAAACATGTCAAAAAAAATTTCGATCACTGGTTTTCAACAACCGACCACCCATTCTGGCCACAGTACTAGTTAAAACATCTAAGAGTGCGTTTGTTTTAGTATTTTGGATAGTATTTTTGAAAAAGTAAGAGTTGAGTGATAATAACGAGGTATGATTTAAAAATGAACAAAAACGCTCCCCTAGATTTGTTAATTTACTAAACACTCCTGTAATAAAAACATTAAAAATTACAAAATCACCTCCACCCACCTATTAAATATCGGCAGTTGGCCAACATTGTCAGAGGGTGGTCGGAGTCGCCGTATCAGAGCATGACCGATTAGATCTAGCCGGTCGTACACCGAGATGGCCTTTTCTGGCTAGATCCATCATGGATTTAGCCAAAAAAGGCCAGATCTAACCATTAACGACCTGATCTGGCCGCATTTGGTCGTCAACGATGAACAAAGATATGGTAGTCGTTGACGACTAACTACGGACAAAGATCTGGCCATTAACGACCAGATCTGTGGTCATAGATTTGATATTTTCCAGCCAGATCTATGGTGGATCTGGTCGGAAAATGTTATATCGGTGCACTACTGGCCATATCCAACTAGTAGTGCGCCATTATACCAAATTCCGGTCACCTTTCGATGGTGGTGATCAGAATCTGACAAATGTGGATGGGTGGGTAGAGATGTTTTTGTTCATTTCTAAACTTTTTTTAAGGGGGGTATTTAGTTAAATTAACAAACTTATGGGGTTTAAAAATAATTGAATAAAATATAATAGTATTTTCAGAATAGGGAAACAAATGTGTATTTTGGAAATTATAGAAATATAATAGGGCAAAAATAGGGAAAAAAAAATGCACCCTAAAATTTTTTTAATTTATTAAACGATAATATTTAATAAAAAGGCCTTAAAAATGAAGGACCACCAATATATGGTTTGATTTTAGTTAATAGAAGAGAGAATTTCTCAAACAAATCTTCTTTGTGGGTTTATCCTTTAGTTATCTTATTAACGATAAAATTATATTAAAAACATTAAACAAAATAAAAGAGCTGCATCTTTCGATTTACTAATAACCACCTCCACCGCCCTTCTCATGACCATGAGTTCCCCATTCAAACAAGATGACTCATGGATATTAATATTTGATATTTAATTATATTGAAATTCTGTGTATTAATCTTTGATATTTAATTGGACTTATATTGATTTTTTATTCCCAACATGTTATATAGTCATATTGTACTATAATGTATGAAAAATTTATAACGAACCTATCAATTACAATTTAACCTCCACTACCTGCAACAATAATTACTTAAAAGGAAAAAAATTATTGAACCGAAAAACTTAATAAATATAAACAGGTTCCGATGATACAATACAATAGACTTTCAAGGTCAAACAAATCTGAACATGGGTTTACTTGGTTTAAACAAAAACCTAGAATGGTACGTTGAACAAAATATATCTCCTAAAAGAGGATACTGCAATAGAACATATAGAGTGGCTGGTACAGACGTAACTACAGTAGTAAGCATCGTGACACAATTTAATCTATCATGATAAGCTAATAAAAGAGTTGTGCTAAAAGCTACCATCATGGTGATTATGGATACAAAGAGTGTAGAGAGTCCAACCATCAGTTTAAATGGTAAAGACTCCAAAAAATCATCTTCTGTATATCGCGATGTAAGGATCGACAAAAACATCAGGATAGAGATAGAAGACGAGGATAATGCGATTGCATCTGATATGACAAAAACCTGAAACCATGTCTCTTTCAGATGAATAGGTAATCCTTTACTACTATCGTTACCACCTGGTACACTAAAAATTGCTGCAAAAATTATAGTGGTAATGATTGTTGCAACAAGCATACATGAGTTAGCGGTATGCTTCATCCATTGTTCTCCGCTTTTCAATAACTCTTTGTGCTCTTGAGTGAATAACTCTTGAGGTGTTTGGCCATTTGAGTTCTTCTTTTCTCGGAAGGAAGGTTGCATCATTTTTCCTATCTCCTATAGATATCAAACATGTTACAATTTGAAATATGACAATTGAAATTAGGACAATAACTGGATTCAGAAAATTTAGTTACCTTAGACCATAATAATTCTCTCTGCATTTGTAGAGCTGCACCTGATAAGATACCAATTCGACTTGGATGTGGTAATTTTGCAGCCAAATGCAACATATTGTTCTGCTCCTTATCTTCACAAGTCATGAACAACTTCTTACTTAAACCTGTCTCATATATTAGATTGAAAACATTGGCATGACGGTGTAAAACTGCAATGTGAAACATACTGTAACCATTTTCATCAAATTGATTTATCAAACTAGGATAACGGGAAATGAGCTCAGCCAAAAATTGGGAATTTCCAAATTTTGCTGCCTCAAAGATGATTCGTGAAGGTGTTTGTGTTAGTTTATCTAGCTCCGCATCCGAGACATGTTGTTTTAACATTTCTTCCCATAGGCATTTGACTAATTGAAGAGCTTGAGTTGATTCGAAATCCTTGTTGTGATTCAACTTCATTAATCCTGAGACTAAGAATCAGAGCATGCAATAAATTATGTACTAATTAATTTAATGGTTGACTAAAATCATAGATAAAAAAAATAAAATAAAATAAAATAAAATAAAATTAAGTGTTGAAGAAACTAACATGAGTTGATAAGCCTCCTGAATAGACCTTGATTTTTGTCAGAAAATATTGAAGGTTTTCGAGCCAAAACATGTAAGGCAGTCTCAGAATTTCTATCACGAGCCATAGCTAATTTGGGATCACCCTTTAGCATTTTTAATGCGAGATCTGAACAATTCAATAAATTAATTGTAAGCAAAAATTCAAATGTTAATATTTAGCTAGCTTCTTTAAATTTTTTTTGAACTTTTTATATGGTTTTGAGAGGTTTTTTTTTTTTTTTTTGAAGTTTTAAAAAGCTTTTATACTTGTTTAAATTTTTTTGAAATTTCTTTAAGCTTTCCTATACCTTACGTACTATTTTAATTTTTTTTGGATTTTTTATTGTTTGATTTTCAATTATGTATTTTTCTAATTTAAAATTCTCCTTTTGCAGAAAATTTGTTTTCGAAAATTATGTGCATAGGGTAAAAACCTGCTGAAAACTTAGGGTTCGTTTGGTTCATTAGTCTCATAATTTTTAGAATAATATTTTAAAAAAAGTAAAATTAGACGAGTATTACGATGTAGAATTTGGATATTAACAAAAATACTCTGTATATTTGTTTATTTACTAAACATCCCTATAATAAAATATTAGAAGTTGACAAAAACAACTCCAACCTATCTATTAAATATGGACAGCCGGCCACCACCACCAGAGGGTGGCCGGAGTGTTTTTGCAATTTCTAAAAAAAATATTTGGGAGTGTTTAGTTAAATTAACAATTTTATAGGAGTTTAAAAGAAATTAAAAAATATAGAATAATATTTTGAGAATAATGACATTATTGTTTAACTTTATTGAGAATACTAATAATAGTATTCCCAATAGTGTAACAAACGAAGCTTTAGCTATTTTAAAAAATTCCTTAAGTCAAGGTAGGGTACTAGGGCAGTTGGCTTTATAACTTTTTGAAAGAATTAACAATTTTTTCTCACCCAAATAATGGCTTAATAGCACTTTTCCACCAACAGACTTTTAAAATACCATTTTTCCACCCAGAAATACACACTTTTCGATTCAGTGGCAAGCGGAGAGCAAACTCGGTCCATGCTATTGGGGCTTTTAAAGAAAGAAGGCCGTTGAGTCTTTTGGTGGTTGAAGGTTGGATTTTTGTGATTATTATTGGTCGGTATTTGACTTGGGAGCAGTGACTACGTAAACTCTAATTGTTCGATTGTCGACGATTAGCGAAGTCAATAGGAATAAGGGTTTGAGGGGTTTTGTTGAGTGATGAATGTGTGAGAGAATGATGCTAGTGTAGGGTCTCAAAAATGACAAAATCGGCCAGTGATTGGCGGGGTAAGTGGGAAAATGTCATTAAAAGGTGTAATTTGGGTGGGAAAGTGGTATTGTCAAATTCTATGGGTGGGAAAGAGTCATTAAGCCATTATTTGGGTGGGAAAAAAATCATTTACTCCTTTTTGAAATAAGAAAACCTGTCAAGAAACATTACTATATTATTATTTGGAATTTATGTTTCTGTTATATATAATAAAAATAATTATGTGTTATCATATGTTGCACTAACATATAAATAAAGTGATATTATATGATAGTGACAGTATCACATATAATAACATATTACTTCAATATATAACATAGGATAAGTTTTAGAATGAATATTATTAATCAAACCACCAATGGTGGCTCAGCGGTCAACTAGAACTCTCAAGTGTATTATTCAATATGTCATAAGTTCAACCCACCTGGATTGTTAATATAGGTGTCACGGAGGGGATTTACTTGGCTATCAATTTTAGGGTTCGAAGATTTAATTGAGGTATGCATGAGTTGGCCTAGACACCTCCGATCACCAAAATATAATCCAAAATTTCTAGGCTACCATATCAATTTGTTATTTCCATGTCAATATTTTATAAAAATACATGTATATCACTTGTGATAAAGTTTAATATAAGAGTTAGGACGTTTAATATTAGTTTTTTGAAAGGGTTGTTTATGAGCATACTTTAAAAATATTAGAAGACAAAAAAGTTTATACACATTAAAAATTGATTTTTTTTATAATCTTTTTCTATATAATATATATCAAAATAAGTAAATTTTTTATCTTATAATGCTTTAGACATGTACACTTAAGACATATATTAAAAAATAAAAAAAGTTAATCTAAAGAAAAGAAGTGAATTGGAATATGTAGTCTTACCATATAAACCATTGGTGAGACAAGTGAAAAATAGAGCAATTTCGTCCTCCCACTGGAAAACATGTTTCGCTTGAGATAATTCGTATAAAAAAGATGCCATCTCCCCTTGTGCTAACAGAGCAGCCAAAAACACAGGCATCATCTTTTCACCACCTCGGATTGTCAAAAGACTAGGATTCTTCTTCAACATAATCCTAGCGATATCAGTAGCTCCTGCTGCAGCGGCGCAACAGAATGCCGTATTTTCTTTTTTGTCCTGCAGGGCCAGGTCTTCCGATTGGATCAACTTTATTAGCTCCTCTACAAAGCCAGTTTGTCTGGCTCCTGCCGCAATATGAAGAACAGTTTCGTGTCCCTTTGTGATACCAGCACACAACATCGTAGGATCTTTTTCTAACAATTTTTTGGCACTTTTCCAGTCACCTTTTAATGCAGCCTTATGAAGAGGCACACAGTTGTTGAGATAAAGGTTTGAATTTTCTCCTGCATGTGCAAATTCAATAGACGAAAACAATTTATAAAGTGTTTGACATATAAACATGCATGCAAACTTAGAGAGAGAGAGAGAGAGAGAGCATCAAGAATATGGGATTTGTGCTTAGGTTTAAATAAAACATTCTTCGTACAAAGACGAAGAGAAATTTTTATTATTGTAATGGACTCACGTACTACTTTCAGCAAACCTCAAGGACGAAAATACTATTATCCCTGAAAGAATATGCGAAAGAGCAAGTGAAAGAGAGTGAGCTCACTAGAAAGGAGATGAAGGGAAGGCTGCCTCTGTCTCTGTTCATGAGTTGAAGAGAGTGTTAAACGATGAACATCTATTTGTGAATCACCCATTTTGTTCTTCAGAAAGAATATCTTCGAACAGAGTTGGTTAATTAACTCCAGAAGACAAGGTTACTAGGGTTGTCTTTTATAGATTATTTTGTTGGGGGTAGATCATTTGACTCATAGTGATCAGACCCTAGTGTGGAAATTAATGATACTTTAGAAGAAGGCCACATCACTATTTGTGACCAATGACCTCATCTATGATACCATCATCACTTAGGTTTAGTGAAAAGACGTGAAGCTCAAAGTTTAGTGCAATCTGCGAAGGCTTGGAAAGCTATGATTAAGAATTGTCCAAACTAACTTATTTAGTAGAATTCGGATTTGTTTGTTCCTCAGCTCTTTGTAATTGGGTCTGTAAATTCGAGTTTGGAAGGATGTATTTTAAGCCTTGTTATTTACCGTAAGTAAAAGATACGGTTCAAGCAGCTCCCACCAGTATGATTTTTGAATAATTTATGAAATGGGTTTTTTCTAAGTATACCCAAACATAATATTTAGTTGTAACTGTTAAAGCTACTAGGGGTGGTTTATGAAATTAACCCATTATAAAATTCTTTTAAAAGTTAAAATTTTAAAAACTATATTTATTTTTATAGAGTTTACGAAATTTAATAAAATCTATTCCACATTTTGTGGAAAAATACCATTATTATATTTATCATCATTAACTTTGACTTGCAACAGTTTGTGTTTATTGACGAAGACCTCACTTTATTATTGTTTTTTTCAACGAATCATAAATAGAGAAAATAAAAGTAAATGTGCTTTACATGTGAATAAAGATAAGGAATCAAAGAAAAACATATAAAGTAAATAGAAATATTCGCTTGTTGGGTCCAGTAGTGGAAGCAACATTTTAAGGAAATTGCAATGAAATTTCTTTGAAAAGACAGAAAACAAATGGTGACTGGACCTCAGATGTGGAAATTAAAATGGTTTGGTCTATTATAAAATTCTGAATGATTTGATCTCTTAATCCCTGACCAACTTATGTTACACGTTCACCTTATCAACATTACTAATTCATTGCCCATTTATTATTTACATTTTTTATTGATGTTACAAGTTCACTTTATCTCAACCACAAGCTTGAAGATTTACATTTTTTTTTCTTTCTTTTGGGATGTTGACACCATTTTTTATTGTTCTAGGCTATAATTTCAGGGCTACTGTGTCTACTTTATTTGCGTACAAGGTGGGAAATGATTTTTAGTCCTTACTATTTTTTTTTTTAGCTCGTTCTTTTACTTTAGGTAAATATATAACTATAATAAAAGTTTTATTTTTCTTCTTCCATATTTTAATTTCAAATCTTTATAGTTTCAGCTGTCGAAAAATTAAATAAAAATTAGGTTACTAAGAATTCATTATTTCACTAGTAATTTGAAGCTCATGGTAATTATCAAAATTACTTTATATTTCTTCTTAACAACAAAAATTAAATTGATATTTGCGAAAACAGTTGAGAATTATATTGTCTAAATAAAAAAAATAAAAAAATTGATCATATAACCAAAAAAATTACTAGATTTGAATCAAACGAGGTATTTATGTTAATTTTTTGAGTATTTTTAAAGCTAACAAGTTTAGGAATAGAAGAGGTTAAAAGACTTCGAGTTTAGGGACCAAGTAACTCCCATCAACTGCCTTTAACCTCCCATCAAGGATCAAAAGAGGCAGTTCATAACTCCTTTAAACCACCTTGAACTGCATAATTGTGGCATGTGACCACATCAAGTCTTACATTCTCCACCTTGGCCTCATGCCGCAATTTGGAAAAATACTATATAGGTGATTAATCCGAATATGGCCATAATATGAGTTATAGCAAGCACTACTTACATAAAAGCTCAATACATGAATGATGGCGGTCATATCTTTTAAATCAAACACTCCTTTCCATCTATTACAATGCATGATATTTTATATAAGTACTTTATGAGTTTCTTAAATTTATGAATGAACTTCCTATAAGTCATTCGTGGTCCACTTTATTTTGAGATTTAACTTTATGTGCACAAAAAATGAAATAGATAAACAGTATATGTCAAAATATCTGAATAAGGTCATAGATACAAATGTAAAAGTTAACTTATACATCAAATGAACTAACTAGCCCCATACGATCCACATGATCCTTAAATACTTTAATCAGCAATCCTTTGGTCATGGGATCGGTGACCATTAATTCTGTACCAATGTGTTGGATATCCACCTTTTGCTCTTTAACATGACCTCTAACTGAAAGATATTTTATATCTATATGTTTGCTGCGACTACTACTTTTGTTATTCTTTGAGAAGAAAACGGCAGCTGAGTTATTACAATAAATCCTTAATGGCCTTGCAATAGAGTTGATAACTCTTAAACTAGATATAAAGTTTCTCAACCATAAAGCTTGTGATGTAGCCTCATAACACGCAATGAATTCTGCTTCCATTGTGGATGTTGCTATTATATTTTGCTTAGTGCTTTTTCAAGATATAGCACCTTTAGCAAGCTTAAATATATATCCAGAAGTAGACTTCTTAGAATCTTTATATCCACCAAAATCAGAGTCTGTATACCCAATCACCTCCAAATGATCAGAGTGTTTGTATGTAAGCATGTACTCCTTGGTTCCTTGCAGATAGCGCATAACTTTCTTGGCAGCTTTCCAATGTTCAAGGCCTGGGTTACTTTGATATCTACCCAACATTCCTACTGCATACCCTATTTCAGGCTTGGTACAAACTTGAGCATACATGAGTTTCCCCACCGCTGAAGAATAAGGTATGTTATTCATCTCCTTGAACTCCAATGAGTTATTTAGACATTGTTCCAAACTGAATTTATCTCCTTTAACAATAGGAGCTGGAGATGGTGAACAATTTTGCAATCGAAAACTTTCCAAAATCTTTTCAATGTAAGTCTTTTGAGATAAACCTAAAAACCTTCTAGATCTATCTCTTTGAATCTTTATGTCAATGACATAAGAGGCTTCACCCATATCCTTCATCTCAAAATTTTGAGAAAGAAATCTTTTGGTGTCATGAAGTGGACCCAAATCACTGCTTGTAAGTAAAATATCATCCACATATAGAATTAAGAAGATAAACTTGCTCCTACTGGTTTTAAGATAAACACATTGGTCCACTATATTCTCAATGAAACCAAATGAAATAATAACATTATGAAACTTTGTGTACCACTGACGAGATGCTTGCTTAAGTCCATATATGGATCTATTCAACTTGCATACTAGCTTATCCTCATTACAGAAACCTTCTGGCTGTTTCATGTATACCTCCTCATCAAGATCTCCATTTAAGAAGGCTGTTTTCACATCCATTTGATGTAACTCCATGTCAAAATGAGCTACTAATGCCATGATGATTCTTAACGAATCTTTCTTTGAAACTGGAGAAAAGGTTTCATTGTAATCAATGCCTTCCTTTTGTGTGAAACCCTTGGCCACCAATCTTGCTTTATATCGTTCGATATTACCATAAGCATCTCTTTTGGTCTTATAGACCCATTTACAACCAATGGTTGTTGCTCCTGGTGGTAATTCGACGAGTGCCCAAACTTGGTTTTTGGCCATTGATTCCATTTCTTCTTTCATGGCATTATACCAAAGGAGGGATTTTTCTCCATCCATGGCTTGTGAAAATGAAGTGGGATCTTCATTTAACTGACCATCAAAATCAGTATCTTGAAGGTATACCATATAATCATTAGAAATCGCTGGTTTCCTTACTCTTGAAGATCTTCTTAATTCAACTGTTTCATCCATAATATCTTGATTTTGGACAACAGTATCATTACTAGTTGAATCTTCGTGATGCGACTGATTAGGAATTTGTTCATCTTTAGTCAATTGATCTTCTAAATTAACTGAATGATCATTTTGAACAATAATCAATTGATTATCTTGAAAAGATGAACTCGGTTCCTTAATTTCCTCAAACTGTACTTTACGAGGAATGTCACTCCCATTGAATTCAAGATCTTCAAGGAATTTTGGGTTTCTAGCTTCGACAATCATAGGTGCGTGAGAAGGACAAAAGAATCTGAACCCTTTAGAATTCATTGGATAACCAATGAAATATCTACTAACAGTTTTCGGGTCCAATTTCTTAATATTTGGATTATAAACCTTTACTTCTGCGGGACAACCCCAAATGTGTAAATGTCTTAAACTAGGTTTCCAACCCACCCATAATTCAAAAGGAGTTTTTGGAACTGCCTTTGATGGAACCCGATTAAGACATATACTGCTGTTTTTAATGCCTCACTTCAAAACTTTAATGGAAGATTGGAGGTACTAAGCATACTTCTTACCATGTCCATAAGAGTACGATTCCTTCTTTCTGCCACACCATTTTGTTACGGTGTTCCTGGCATGGTATATTGTGCAACAATACCCTCTTCTCGAAGAAATTTTGCAAATGGACCTGGCATTTGACCCTTTTCTATATATCGTCCATAATATTCTCCACCTCTATCTGACCTTACAACCTTTATTTTCTTTTCACTTTGTTTCTCTACCTTTGCTTTGAATACCTTAAAGGCATCTATAGCCTCTGATTTATTAAACAAAAAGTAAAGATACATGTATCTAGTACGGTCATCTATGAAAGAGATAAAATATCTCTGTCCATTTAGACGAGGTATAGGAGAGGGTCCCCATATATCTGTATGTATGATCTCTAATTTATTAGTACTTCTTCTAGCTCCTTTTCGTAGCTCTATTAGTTGTCTTTCCCTTTATACAACCAATACAAGTATCGAAATCAGTGAAGTCAAGAGTTTGTAAAACTCCATCATCCACCAACCTCTTAACTCTCTGTATAGAGATATGTCCCAATCTCTTATGCCACAACTTAGAGGAATCCTCTTTAATGATACAATGTTTGCTGCCATTCTCCTCATGCACAGTCATAAGACTATGCTCAAATGCAGGATCTAGATTAAACTTATACAAACCATCAAGTAATTTTCCATATCCAACAGTAACATGGTCTTTTAGAATTTCAAAGATTGAATTA